CTTTAGGCTTAGACTGCCCTGGGACCTAGCACATTGAGCACCTATCTCTCTCTCTCTCTCCCTCTATCACTCTCTGTATGCATTCACATCTTATTACTGTATGTCAGTATCTGTAAATCTTCATGTACCATTTCAGTTACGAACCATATATCTTCCTGGTAGCTCCTGAGCTCTCTTGTCTCATAGGTTCCTTGGGACCATTGGTGTGGATGGCCTGCTGCTGTGGACCCCCCCCCTCCTCCTGACTCCAACTGCTACAACTATAATATCAGCCGTACATCTATTATCATTATAATAAATATCAAAGTGAATCTTAGAGCTGAAACTATTCACATCAGCCTGACATGTTTGTCGATATTATTCATTGTTATTTTTGTTGCTGCTGCTCCGATTGTCCCAATCCTCCTTCTTCTTTCATCATTGCCCTCTACCCAACTTCCCAACCCCAACACAAATGGCTCTTCAACATGAGTCTGGTTCTGCTCAAGGTTTCTGCCTCTTAAATGCAATTGTACAATTCAGCTGATCTGGAGAGCTCAGAGCTCTGCTGCGCTGCTCCTGCTCTTGCTGCAGGTTATTTAGGGTTCTTACCTGGTAAAGCTCCAAACTCAACTAATAATCCCTTTAATCAAAGTCAAGCATCTGGGTAAAATCGTACTTATCTTGTACAAAAAAGACAATCAAATTAGGCTGCTGTGATCCTGCAGGGAGGCTAATAAAGACCTCTGAGGTAGATTAATGAGCCTGATTACGCGATAAAACAAATTAGAAGCCAAACCCTAAGTGTATAAAAGGCTCTCATTGAACTCCCACGTCCACCTGACATCTCTCACGCTTGTCCAACATTATTTGAATTCCACATTTGTTTCAGTGCGTCTATCTGGGGAGGGGCCCTCGTCCAATTTACTTAAGAAGAAGCTGATAAGACGTTTTAGCTGAGGCACTTTTTAAAGAGGTTCGTAAACAAACAAAAGCAGAGGACAGATAATCCATGAGCAATTAATTAAACACCGCCGCCACCGCCGCTCGGCAACATCCGGACGCGGGAGTCGTTTTTGATAATGAAAGTAAACGGAGAATAAGCGAGGACTGCATTTATTTTATCTCAGGTGTAAAGTCTGTTTATCACTTCCTCCTCTTCTAATCTTTTATCTTTTCTTTTCTGCTCTATCCTTCGCTTATCCTCTCGTTATCTCTTTCACCTGCCACCCTCCTTGTCCTCCCCTCATTCCTTCATCTTTCTTGATATCGTCTTGTTTCTCTGATCACTTTTCTTGTCTCTCTCTATTCTCCTGTCTTTCATTCTTTTCACCTCCCTTTGTCTCTTCCCTTCACTCCGTCTTAGAAAAGCAAAGGGATATTTCATTTTAGCATCGCTGTGAATTAGTATGAAAATTAGTATTAAAAAATCATGTGCATTAAATCTCTAGTTTTCACAGATTTGTTATAAACCGAGCCTTAAGAGTCCGTCCTTCTCTGATAGAAACATTCAACCTTTCCATTTCCTTCCCCTACTTCCTCTTCTTCCCCTAAAAAGCCGAGACAGGAAGCAGCTGCGAGACATCATCGACGATGATTTGCAACCACATATTCATTTTTTATCCTAAATATATTAGGCCATGGCATCTGGAAGGTCAGCGGTGTAATGGCCATTGTATATTTTATGAGCAGCAGGAAGCAAAGCTCTTGGAGTTAATCATGTGGATGAGGTGGTTTTCAGGTAGAGACAAGGGCGCTACTTAAATCATCACATAAGCCTCTGCAAAAAGGTCAGACGCTTCAAACCGGGGCTGAATGCCCTGGAGTGGATAGAATGGCTGTAATCATTCGGAGCGCCTGCCACCGTCTGCAGGCCAAACACATTTGTGGAGGTGACTTTGGACATCTGCAGAGATTTTTAAAGCCTGCTCAATGCTGGTATGTGCTGTTTATCAACTCGAACACACCCTACTCTGAGGAAAAGAGGTGCTTTCTTCACTCATGTCTTCAACTTCTTTGGATCTTCTTAGTTATTAATTACTTCAAATTTGACAAAAATGTCAGCCTAAACAATTAATGAAAGTTATAACAACAGAAAGTAACAGTTTCTAACAACCCATTGATGTCATTGGACAAGAGGCTTTCCACAAGTGCTGACATATGTTGATTTAACACTGAGATTCTGCAGCAGCACCGTAACAAATCTCCACCATCACTCCTCTGTATTTTTACCTTGAACCACGCAACAGTGTAATATTAGCGCAACCCTCACACACACACACACACTCAGACACAGATCCATCCTGCCGGGTCCAACCTTTACCGTGACGCAGTTTTGCCACCCGATGTCGGCTCAGAGCGACAGAATGAAGGTGAATGTAAGAGTCCTGTCTAGAAAGGCAGTGTTAAACAGGATATACAGTTCAACCATTTAAACTACATCACTCTGCCCTCAGGGGTCCTGAATACTGTTAATTCACTTTACAGCAGAGGCTACTTTGTCTAAATCAATCAATCGAGTGTCTCTGACAATCAAACGACTGTCCACTGACTCCCAATAATGGGGAATACTTTTTTTTGTAGTTCTAGCAGAGACAGAGGGCAGTGCGTTAAAATGTATGTTAATACTGATTTCACATGAACAGGATGTTTTTCAGGGGAAGAAGAGCAGACAGCACAGGTAGACCCACTTAGCTTTAACACCAATAGAGTTCTCTGCTGTGACAAACCTGAGGTCCAATGGGAAATTATTCAGCATGGTTATTGGCAACTTAACCACCATGAAGGACAGCAGTCCTCCTTTTCAATTAGACTGAAAGATACATACACACACACACACACACACACACACACACACACACACACACACACACACACACACACACACACACACACACACACACACACACAAGTACACACACCGAAAAAGCATTCACACATGCACACACACACAGACACACACACACCGAAAAAGCATTCACACATGCACACACACACAGACACACACACACAGACACACAGACACACAGACACGCAGACACACACACACACACACACACACACACACACACACACACACACACACACTTTTTAAAAGTTATCTATGGTCATTTATTGCATAAAATCTCAAAACTATGTTTTGTGTTTGTTTTAATAAATTGTTGTCATATTTAGCAAAAGTCAGTTTCTTGTCGTTACACGGCTTTAATTTAAACAAAGTTATGGATTGTGGAAAAACTAAAAATGCATCTCAAAAATGTTCTTGTGTTCAGTCAAACTTTGGTTAATGTGAACAATTTGACCACATTTCACATGTTCTTTGCATTGTACAAAATATGATGATTTAAGAGAATTGTTGTTTCATTAAATAGCTCGTCAAAAACCTGAAATATTGGCGTGGGCAGATGTGCAAAAACTGGAATGGCTAATTAAGTTCGATTGGAAAATAACTTTTTGTTTTCTCTTTTTGTTTCATGACAATTAATAGACCTACTCTGCACAAAAACTTCAAACTATATGATTGGATATTTACCTTAAATTTCTTATTAAATAGAATGTTTAAAATTCATGACCAAAAAAAAGTTCTGTTATTTTGTTGATAAAATATGATTTTTTGTTGATAAATGAAAACCTGGGAAATCCCCTTAGATCCCCCTGACTGACCCAGAGGGCCCCTGCAAACCTTGAGAATCCCTGTTTTTGTGAACAATGCCCTGCTGGTTTGAGGGAACAGTGCTTCATATTTAGCTCATACAACCAAAATGCAATTCATTTTCATTCTAATCACATTCAGCAGACCAGTGGTTTGTTTGTCCTGGAAAACTGTGTGGAAGATTAGACCTACAAAGGGTGTAAGAAAGGTGATAAGACTGGATTGACTTTTAGCTTGATGGAATAAAATCTTCAGACGGACTAAAAATAATCTATATATGAGAAAAATGTTCTAAGTGACCTCATAAGCCGAAGCCCTTCATCATGTCATACATGTGAGGAAACATAAGCTGCTGTTTCACAATTGGTCGGCCTATGAAAGCAACATTTCGGCATATCTGTGACGTACTTCTGGCGAAATCCTCTTATAAAATCCAAACATATGGCAGGAGGGAGAGCACACATAATGGACCTGCATTTGTGAAATGAACAGTGAATTGCTGTGCTGTCAGAGCAGCTGCTGTCTAAGCTGTATATCTCTGCTCTGCTGCACAGAGATGGCAGCGCAGCTATTGTCGATGAAAAATTTAAATGCTTATTGAAGCCGTCCATCTGACAATCGGCCCACACCACCATGCTCGCTGTAGTGACAGGGACAATGACTTGGACACAAGCAGACATTGTGGGAGTGTGTCCATAGCCATAACATGCAGAGAGACAACAACATGGTGTCTGTATAAATAAAACTAAGCCTGCATGGCACAGGTCACAGGTTAGTATGTGAAAAGGCAAGATAGGAAATTGATTTAAAAGCCTAAACAACATATCCATAGTAGCTACATCATGGTAATCACTTTCCCACACTTACAAGGCGTACATATATATTACAGTATACATACATACTGTGTTCATTAAAGACTGTATTTATCAGAACTGTTACACAAAAAGCCAAAACGTGCATGTATGTTCTGTTTTTCCACCATAGACTTTATAAAAAAGTGGATGTAGCATCTTGTACTGACGCCCGACACCCAGCCTCCACCGTCAGACTGTGTCGTCCCCACAAACCACTGCCGTCCTCATTCATGCACACTTGGCGCTATACAAATAATGACTAATTGATTGATTGACTGATTGATTGATTGATTGATTGATTGATTGAAATCAAAAGTAAAGCCAAAGAAAAATGCATACTTTAAGACTGCAGTTTGTCGAGGGCTGGCTGCACTAGAAGTCACATACACACCCATTGTTCAGGCATTGAAAATAAAACTTTCGTAATTCGAGACATTTTCGGGACACTTCAGACTGAATGGAGCGTATAAAAAGAACGTCACATGCTGACGGATGGATGTTATAGTGACTCTTACCTGGACCTCCACTCCGTAGCCCATATACACAGTGATGATGTAGCTGCAGTCTATAGTGGAGTGGAAAGCAGAGCTGGACTGTGGAGGAGCCTCGATGAAGCCTTCTGGTCCAGTCAGGTTCAGCTGGCAGGGAACTGCAGGAACACACAAACACAATGATGCATCATTACAGACATGCATGGACACCAGTGTTCACAATATTCACAAACTGTTTACATTAAAACACTGTGTTTTTTATTCATGGAACCAATGACTTATTTTCCAAACAAACTTGATCAGTCAGTGGACAACAAAACTCTGACAATGACCATGACCTTTTCTAAACCTTAATTAGATGATGTATAGTTTTTAAGAGTGCATACTAGCTGTTACTTTATTATGTCAGTATGTCTGTTTGCTTGTCTCTGTTATAAAATATCTTTGTTTGCAAAATGTTCCTTCTGAAGCCAAAATGCTGTTTTTTTATTTGCTCTGCTTAATTGGCCTCAATGATTCTAAGAGTAGCTGATAGCTAGCTTGTAGCTTGATCAGACTGAATTAAAAATAGTGTGGAATCAGGGACATCAGGCCTCCATCAAATCCGTTCATTATCATATCAGGATAAAAATGACTTTGCAATTAAGTGTGCAGCCAAATGGCCATGTAGGAATATACAGACCACAGTGATAACTTGGAAGTAGGTGATCCAGAACACAAATCTAATGCAACTCTATGGCACATACAGTGCAGTGCAGACTTGACTACAGGACTGCTTTAACACTCTATATGAGTCAGTGTGAAGTTTCTCTGCCTCTCTGGTTCCTTTTCTAATCCTCTCTTAGCCCTGGGATGGGACAGCTGAGGAGAGAATATTTCACAGTGGCCTTCAGGGGGTTTCTGCTCCATCACCTTCAACCCCCCTCCAAAAAAAACCCCACCTCACCCCCACCCTCTCTGAGCTGAAAAAGTTAACTTTTTTCTGAAGCGCTTCATGAAGAAGAACATCCTGTCTGTGTCCCTTCCCCTCTTCACCTCAGGGAGAGTCCACTCCAGCATTATAACTGCACTCCAGTGTTGTCATTCAGCCTGAGTCTGAGAGTGTGTTACAGTGTGTGTTGCTTCATCCTGCCATCTCATGCACACAGATGATCTGATTAATCAAGCTTCTGCCTGACCTGCAGAGTCCACTGTGAATCACCACCCTGATATTTGTTTCCCTCCTCCTCCGTCTTCATAAGAGACGCTGCCATCCCTGTTTAGACCTTCTAGATTAAGGGTTAGTGATGCACTGATGAAGATGGAAAATTAGTTCAGCCCCTTGGCTGTGTGTTTTGTGAGAGATGCAAATAGAGGAGATATTAGTGAAGGGTGTGAAGACAGCAGGGGGGTTCTCAGATTAGAAAAACAACCTCTGCACTGAGCTCTGAGTCAGAAACATGTTTACGTAGCTCTGATTTGATTCCAAGTATTAAACATTTTTAGCAAAGACAAATGGTACATGTAAACCTATTTTTCACTTACTATGTACAGAAATATCCAAGCTGAGGTAAAGTGAATTTTTCCAATATTTTTTGATAATTGAAGGAGAAACCATTTTGGCTGTCTGTTATGAAAGTTGGCCTGTGTGAGATTAATGTGTATTCTTATTTAGGACCTTGTCAGGACTTAAAGGTAACATATAGAAAATACACTTCATGTTTCTCTAACACTAATATGTGTCCCTAGTCTGTCTACAATCCCCCAATTATGAGAAAAGCACATCCTCTCCGTCTTTTGCATGCTCCACTTTTTAGAAAAAACAGGCCGTTTGGAGATTTTCCCATCATGACATCACAAAGGGCAGTGACCCCTCCCCCAGGTGGGTGACACTCCCACAGCTAGGTGTTTGTTCTGCCCTCTGAGTCTGCCTTCTCACCATAAACAATAGGACATGGAGCGAGAAAGCCCATTATCTCCCAAGCCCTTCCAGAGAGGGGGCGTGGTCAGACACAACTCATTTACATTTAAAGGTACAGACACAGAAACAGCCTGTTCTGAACAGGGCTAAAATAGAGGGGTTTATAGACATTATCAAACACTGAACTCTTACAGAGAATCGATTCTTAGCAAAAAGCTTCAATTTTTTTTCCCCCAGCGTTTTGGGGAGCTCTCAGACTTGTTTTCAATCCAATCCTTAAAACTTTTAATTTCCTTGTCAGTAAATTATAGTTTTCAGTGACAAACACACCTACATACACATAAGAGCTCTTTGTTAAAAAATACGATATTTACTTAACCTGTGTTCTCACCTGGACTCTGCATGGTGGTGATGATGGTGGTGGTGGTAATGGTGGTGGTCGTGGTCTCCTCTTCATCGCGGCTGGGCCTCACAGTCTGCTGCGGTCCAGTCTGATTCTTCCTCGCCTCATCTTCCTCTCCTGCAGCTGGAGATGAGGACGGTGACATTTCAGTGTGTTCTGAATCTTTTAAAACCTCGCTTGTTACTGGGACGTGACTACTGGAGTGAGCGGCAGGAGCTGATGTGTGCATGACGACGGTTGTTCGCACATCAGAGCTCTCAGTGGTCACATCTGAAGCCTGTAAAGTTTTGGGTGGGGGTGTGGATCCTCCGCTGTCCTCGAAGTAGTTTGGCTGACCACGTGGATTGAGCAGGTCGTGCTGTTGGTGAGGATTCCTGTAGACCGGATGGTGGTTGAGGACGTTGACAGGTGGTGCCGTCGTGACCACAGGGGGTCTCCCGCCTGAGTCCTGGGTGGTAGGGTACAGGCCAGACCTGCTCTCCTGAGGGACCCCCGGGGTGATGGAGAGAGCATCCTCTGAGGCTGCAGAGAATGAAAGAGAATAACAGATTTTGTTGGATTGATTCATCGCACAGACTCAATAATCAGCTGGCCGTGCAGGTGCAGAGATTGCTGGCTCCACAGCTCTCCATCCACAGACATTAAACACTCTGCCAATCCCATTTACAATAGTTAATGATGTAGAATGCTGCTACAGCAAGCAGCCAGCCGGTGCAAAAACAAATCTCTGCACGACATGTCTTTGAGCCAAAAAATATAAGTGCAAAAGCTACAATATTCTGCCAAAATCGAACAATTATTTTTGCACCTCTTTCTTCCAAAAAAGGGCATGAGTAAAGATTAAAAAAAAGTTTTATTGAAGAAAAAAAAGGTAAAATAATGTTCACGATCTCTCTATACTTGGCAAAAAAAACATCTTTACAGTGGAACAAAATTGTAAAAATCAAATCTGTGTTCTTTGGGCCACGTTTAAAAAAAAAAAAACTTGATCGCACTGAATCCAAGGCGTATGTACACCTACGGCTGGGCTCAGACTACAGACCTCTAATCAGTTTTAAACCATGTTGCATCATTCACATGAAGAAAAACTACACAGTCATTCTTCTCTTTTATCTCCAACAGGCAGAGACTACAAACTGGGATTAAGATTATCATGTGCGCCAGAAGGAGAAACGCCCAACCTCTCGTGATCTCGTATTATCGCATGTGATCTCACATGGAGGCATTTGTATAAAAATAATATATGCATTAAGTGCAGTTATATTGTTTACTGTTATTTCAGTAAAGTAGAAGACGCCTTAGGGCAATTTTACAGCAGTGCAGAGCTCGTTAACTGTCCTTACTGTGTAATTTTCTTTCTTTACAACATTTACTAAAATGCACCATCCAATTCTGTTAAAATAATGCATATTTCTGATTATATTAGACTTTATTGCAGTGTAGTGTTTATTTCAGTTACATGCCACTTTAAGCTGTGAACATTATGAGTGCAGAGACCATTAATTTTTCCACTATTCAGTACAGCAGTTTTCCGATTTTGTCACTGATTTATCCATCCAGAAATGTGTTAGATCTCAGAGCTGCAGTGATTTTGACAGCAGAAAGTATAACTTCATAGCCGGGGAATAAATCTGAAATTCAGTCACCCTCTTTATCTCCCCCTGCTCACTGCTCCGCTCCGCTGTACTTCACTCTGACATGAAGGCACAGAGAACCTGTCTGCTGCTTCTGCATGGAGACAGAAACGCTCACTCACTCTGCTCCCTAAAGCAAACTCCATCTTTCAAAGCAGAGTTTTTCCATATTTCCGATCGACACTTCTTCTTTCACACCGCTGTGAAAACTTTGTGCAAAACGCCGAGCAGTACAACCCAAACAATTCCCCCACAAATTGCTCACATCAGTGGCTCCTTCCCTCCTCGTAATAAGACTTAATATTCATTCCTGAGGAGATTTGATGAGCCGCTATAATTCTCCCAGTGTAATGATCAGCGCTCCCCTCCCAAGTGCACCTGTGAGATCTAATCTGAGCCCCTTCAGGAGGCTATCATCCGCTGAGGGAAGTCTTATGTTTCTTTAACAATGCTTCATTTCCACCATAATGGCTCCCACTCTCTGCCGACTAATAGCTATCTGCTTCAAACAATCAGGCTTTATTGTAGCTGTGCCACTTCACGCCCAGCAGCAACGTGCTCTCTCGCTCTCTCTCACTCTCACACACGGCGCTCCTCCTCACACACAATCCGACACGTAAGCAGATAAATCTACAAGAAAAGTAATGAATGAGACAGATTCAAAAATGACTGACTGGAGGTGTGTCATTACCCTGCAGCTACGAGGTGTGAAAGGTAATGTACACACTCTGGCTGAGCTGTGGGTGTTCTGTCAGATCCACTAAATCAGGTGTGTGTATGAAACATGGCAGGCTCTGTAGGAGGAGACAGCTTTGTTCATGTATATCCACGTATGAGGGAGAGCAGATGCAATGGAGCAAAAGCTTTTTGGAGCAGACAAACACATTGTATTTTGCATTTGGACACATCTTAAAATAGGGAGAGAAAAACTCTATTTCTCTAAGTAATTGTTAAGCAAGAAATTGACCAAACATTCTGTGCATTCCAGCAGCTCAGTGTTTGTCGTATTTGAAGCTTAATTTGTAATAACAGATATTATAAATTGAATCTTTGAAACTGTTCAGATATAACCAACATCCAGGAAGAAATAAGCAAAACATAAGATCCACAAACTGCATTTCCTCAAGCGTCCACTTGAGGCTGACTCAAAAAGTGAGTCAATGTACATAGAGCCCCATGTTAAAAACTTAACAGCAGGACTATACATGTTTACAGCCTGCTATCTCAACAACGGTTTTGGTCTCTATAGCTCATTTCTGACATTTTAACTGCACAGGATTTCTTTATTACTCACATTTTTTAACCTGTGGGCAACTAATGACTTAGCCATGGTCAGAGAGAGAGAATAGCTTTGAAATAAATGTACCCTCTTCATTCTTGTTCTAGTCTCCTATTTTTCTGTTTATCGTTGTCAGTTTCTGTTTCTTGTTCTGTCATTCCTTTGTAAAGCACTTTGGGCTGCAGGCTTTTATGTATGAAAGGTGCTTTTATATATGAATAAAGTTGATTTGAGTTTATTCACTCCTCTCCAAATATGGTTATGTCTGGCTCCATGGTGATGGCCTAAAATGCAGAAAATCCAGACCTAGAAAATGCAGTGGCCATGCCAGCTGACCTGATGAACTGACCTGATGGAGGCTGTGTCCATTTGTTTTTTTACAGTCGATACAAAATATATTTACCTTGCATCAGCCTCTGAGGAGCAATGATGGAAATATTAAGATGGAAAAAAGTCATAAAATCAAGAATCAGCTAAAGTGAAAATATTTGTATTTATAAAAACTGACTGAAGAAGATTATGTAAATCTGCAGAGCCAAAGAAAATAAATTCTTGTTATGATAGAGCTGTCTGATAGATGATAGAGCTTGTCTTTGCAGCTTTCAGCCACAGACAAACCAAAGATAAATCAATGAACGAGCACAGATGAATGCAGAACACATCTGTACCAAGAATTTGCACTTGAACACACCACAAAAACTATCACCCAGAGGTAGCTTTCCACCTGCATGTGTGACACGTTAAAAAGGAATGCACTTACAGTTAAGAATAAAACACAGAGTTCATGATCTGTTACAGGGTTAAATAATTGATTGTGGATAAAAACATTGCATAGTCACAAGAAGTTATATAGAGAGTGATTCAAAAGTATAAATAAGTTAAAATGCTTAAATATCAGTTTTATGTTAAAAGAAAAGGTTAAAGATGCTAAAATGTTTAATAGACATGATTTAGTTCATTCTTTATTGTTAAAAGTAAGATTTGTTGATGTCTATCTGTGATCTACTGACTTGTCTGCGTTAGATTATCTGGGAGCGATTGCTTTTGTCTTCGCCCACATACCAGGAGAAATCGCGGTGTTTCCCTCATTACACTAAACGCTCTTGATGAGGAAACACAACTGAATCACTCTTGTGATTATTTCTCTCTTTATTCAGGCATGTTTATGTTCATAAACACAGCTAACATGTCCGAAATAACTTACTAACAAGTAAAGAGTTTCATGACGAAGTAATGTCGATGTTTGAGTCAGTTTAAAGTTAAGTTTCAGAACATAAAGTTTGCTAGCATACGAGCCCGTGCTCAGAGCCACAGCACAACCCGTAGCTGCACCGCAGTCTGTTCTGTGTGTAGTGTTCTGTGTGTAGTCTTCTGTGTGTAGTGTTCTGTGTGTAGTCTTCTGTGTGTAGTGTTCTGTGTGTAGTCTTCTGTGTGTAGTGTTCTGTGTGTAGTCTTCTGTGTGTAGTGTTCTGTGTGTAGTCTTCTGTGTGTAGTGTTCTGTGTGTAGTCTTCTGTGTGTAGTCTTCTGTGTAGTCTTCTGTGTGTCGTCTTCTGTGTGTAGTCTTGTGTGTAGTCTTCTGTGTGTAGTCTTCTGTGTGTAGTCTTCTGTGTAGTCTTCTGTGTGTCGTCTTCTGTGTGTAGTCTTCTGTGTAGTCTTCTGTGTGTAGTCTTCTGTGTGTAGTGTTCTGTGTAGTCTTCTGTGTAGTCTTCTGTGTGTAGTCTTCTGTGTGTAGTCTTCTGTGTGTAGTCTTCTGTGTGTAGTGTTCTGTGTGTAGTCTTCTGTGTGTAGTGTTCTGTGTGTAGTCTTCTGTGTGTAGTGTTCTGTGTGTAGTCTTCTGTGTGTAGTGTTCTGTGTGTAGTGTTCTGTGTGTAGTCTTCTGTGTAGTCTTCTGTGTAGTCTTCTGTGTGTAGTGTTCTGTGTGTAGTCTTCTGTGTGTAGTCTTCTGTGTAGTCTTCTGTGTGTAGTCTTCTGTGTGTAGTCTTCTGTGTGTAGTCTTCTGTGTGTAGTCTTCTGTTTCACAGGAGTGAGGATGTGTTTAAGTTGTTTCATTGTCTTATGTAGTTGGACTCATGCACTTTTATTAGCTCAATACGAGTTTAAGACATATATTTGATGCTTAAAAGAAATGTGTGAGGAAATGATTTATTGCAGGAAAATACTGTTTGTTATTGTTTGTAAAAGGAAAAGGTGTATATCCTACCTCCACCTCTATTCAGTCTGAAATGTGAAAGATGTTGTAAATGTGTACTTTTGTACATTGTTATATTTCTGTAAACATGTAATTCATTACACTAAACGCTCTTGATGAGGAAACACAACTGAATCACTCTCGTGATTATTTCTCTCCTTATTCAGGGGTGTAACACCTGAGAGGAACCAGGTCTCCATTCAAGCAGCTTTTTATCATCTTTATTCAGCATACAAACGGAAGAGAATGGAAGACAATTACAAAAAAAAGTTGGTTTTCAAGTGGGATGATTCAAATGAAGGCCACCTCATGTTGGAACAACAATGTTGAAATACTGAGAACACTTCAGGACACGACTCCATGAGTTGACAGACTCAAGGTCATAATAAAGTAAATGTTATAGCGATGGTCAAACACTTA